TTGCCTCTCTACAAAAATTAGCTACAAAGGAGAATATATATAGGCATTACAACCTCTACTTACTTAACCATTAAGAAAACTTAGTCATTAAGCAAACTTAGCCATTAAGTAAACTTAACCATTAAGAAAGCTTAGCCATTAAGTAAACTTTGCCATTAAGTAAACTTAACCATTAAGCAAACTTAATCATTAAGCATCAGGCTCCATAACCTAACACCCCGTTGGGGTATGGGGAGCCAAGATGGACGCAGTCTTACCACTCTAAAAACAAAGATGATGTTTCTGTTAGACCCTAGATGCATTGAACAAAGATGATGTTTTTGTTAGAGTATGACTAAAACATACTCCCTCCGTTCCCCAGAGATCTTCCAATTAGCCCTTTTATTTGTCTCCCAAATATCTTCTCATGAGCCCTTTTAACATTTAAAATACCACAACTACCATCACTTACTTTATTTATTACAGCGCACCCGCCTCATTTTATATACTCCACCCATTTTCATTTAAGGATATTTTGGTAAACTTTCATCTTTTTTTTAATTCTTCTTAAAAACTACAAAAAGTCAAAATGAGAACATCTTAGGGGGTGGAGGGAGCACTACATACATTTGTGGTATTAAAAAAGCTAATTAATAAATAATAATAATAATAATAACAACAACAACAACAACAATAATAATAATAATAGTGTCCACTATTGCTATCACATGCTGCACTTGCATGAAATAGTAAGCCAAGAGGACTATATGTTTCAACATTGAAATAAAAATATAAGATATGTTTGTAAATCTTGTTTTTAAAGCTTATAGCTTATTGTATGTAACAATAAAGCACTAGTATTTGGAATATATAAACAGCTCTATCTGTCATCGTGCTTCAAGAAAAAGCTAAGACATAATCTTTTTTCTATAAGCACTTTATTGTAAAAAATAACACCCTCAAGCTGCTACACTATTAAAATCATTATCTTGTTGCCTGTTTGCATCTTTAATGTGTACGCCATTTATCCAAAGCTAATTTTACCAAATACTTTTGAGTTTTAGCTTTCAACTAGTAGTTGTTAGCTTTCTAGCATTCAACCACTCCATTCATCAGCCCACTAGAAGTAGTTCTACTAAGTATATTGAGATATCTAATGAAACTGTCTAAGTTCAATACATTTAAAAGCATTTATGAAATATATGTCAGAATGCCCCTTAAATATGAATATGAAATTCCAAAAATATGCTTTTAAATTATAGAGTAATGTTGGAATTAGAAACTAACCACACAAATAATTCTCTAGGCGATAGTAAATATCCTCCTCTAAACCTGTGTAACTTCTCTCTTTGACTCTTTTCAGACATGTTGAGTATATTCATCTTTGAGTAAACTCTAGTGTTAGGTACATCCAACAGTTATTATGGCAAGTTAGCTCGTTCGAATAGATAAAAATGAGAGGAATACCTTTCTCTCCATCTGAGGAGAGCCTCTAGAAGAGGGACGGGAGTGTGTCGTGCAATCATAGCCAATGAATCCAATACTTGTTCATAGGATGGGTCTGATGGTCGAAGGTACTGCCCATCCTGTGATTCCACAAGTGAAAGAAATATCGTATCAGCCTATCAGGTATGAAATAGCCGCCTCAAATTTGTTGAAATTTAAAAATTATTTTATTCCAAACTTTTTCTTCTGTATATTCAACCAAAAAAACATCTTTTGAAACCATAGCCAACCATAAAGCAAAGAACACATTTAGAAATCCCCACTTAGAGAGAATGAGCTTGTTCTTACTGAACATTGACATAAGAACCAATTCCAGAACAATGTCTATAACAAAGCCCAGTAACAAACTGTATGTCCGCAATATGAGTTTTGAGTTCAAGACAAAGAAAATGAGCAATTGAGAATGATTGCTGGTGTGATTGATTCTCACTTGAGCTTGGGCAGTTTCAATACGACGCCGAGCAAGCGGAAGAAATCTCTGCAGCAAAGCATCAACAATCAGTTTGGCTGCACTCCCAGCCTTCATCTTCTCCAAATGTTGAGCAATCAACTTCAAGTCCAAGCTTGATAATTCATTTCCAACTTAAGTCGTTCACTTTGAGCCTGATCACAAACCCAATCAAACATGAAGGTGACAATTTTATTCTCCTTCATCATCCACTACAGCCTGTTTGGAAAGAAATGGAAATGAATTCAATTGATAACTGAACTTATTTTCTTAAAATGTTACCATTTTTTAAACTAAGAAATGAATTCGGCTGAGAATTAAATTCCCTTAAAATGCAAGAATGCACATCAGATAAAAATCCAAAAGATTTGCTGCAGGAAATCTGAACCAGATAAAAAATTTATCTGAATTGCTACAGGAAATCTGACGGAATTGGCCTAAATATTAAAATCCTAAAAAATCCCTCTCCACAAGTTCGATCCTTCCATCTAGTACTGACAACTCTAGCTCAGCTTCAATTAGCCAAAGATTAATTGTATGTTTGGATGAAAGGAAAATGGGAAGGAAATAGAAATTAACTTTTTTGCTTGGATGAAAGAATGAAAGGAAATTGATACGGGTCGAGTGCACCCACCAGACGAGACCCATGCAGAACAGGATGACTCTCTCGCACCTACGGCGGTACGATGTTCCCGAAGACGGCGTCGCTTGTAGGAGTCGCCGTTCGGAGCAGCCCGGAACCGATGCGGGAGTCGTCGCTGTTTCAGATGCTCTTTACCGGGATTTTCTGATGAGCTGTGTATCCTGTGTCTATGCATGTCCTTTGTGTTGGTTCTCAATCAAATCAAAAGGAACAACTTGTTTGATATACTACTGGACCGGGTTTAGGTGAAGTATTTACCGGGTCAGGTGGTCTTACTGGATGTGGTTGGATGCATGACCGGGTCTATGAGGACTTTTTTACTTCCCACTTTAAAGTTTAAACAAGTCTATTAGAATTGCCAAAGAACTTAAGTCTATTAGAATTGCCAAAGAACTTCTAGTACAATTGTATTATGGTGACTCTTTGATATCTTAGGTAGGTTGATCAGCAGCATGTACGATCTACGATGATCAGATATTTTCGTAAAATGCGCACTATGTTGTTATTTTTCATAGTTTGGTACGATTTTATTTTACGACTAAATGTCATTTAAAAACAAGATCATATTATATCATATCAATGTCTAACTATGTCTTATTGCTTTGATGGTAAAAAAGAATTACTCTCTCCATTTTTAAGGGAGAGTTAAATATGGCTTTGACTTCCAATAATGTCCCTTCATCAAGCTTGGAAGAAGAGGCGTTGCTACGAAAATAAGGATTTCCGATGAGTTCTTCAAACACAAATTATATGAAAATTGATGGACTTGCCTAGCGGAAGAGAGGACGACCGCAATTGTTGGTATGACGCACAGACTGAGGAAACCATTTTGGATTGAAGAAAGAATTAAAGAGATAGGAGAATTGAGGTTTTCATTGAACCCTGGATTATGTCTCTATTACCGTCGTTTGAAGACACCAAAGCCGCCGGCAAGCACAACAATCTTGGCTCCGGCGAGCCGTGCCTTAAGCAGCCACCGTACAGCCGCCGGCGAGCACCGTCGGACACAGATCTACGGTTTTCTAGGGAGGGGGAGATAGACGAAGGGAGAAAGGGTAAATTGGGAGAGGGGAGACAATCCGCCGACAAGCGGAGACAGATCTAGGGTACTGTGGCATGTTTTTGCAGAGAAGAGAAAAATAAATGGAGAGAAGGTGGATTGAGAGAGGAGATACAGAGGATGGTTGAGGCGTGGGGAGTGAATATTGCAAGGCTATAATAGTCATTATACGTCTTTTTTTGGAAGTAGGAAGGTAGTTTTAGAACGGAGAAAAAAGGAAAGTGGGAAGATGGTTTTAGGGCAGAGGGAGTATTTTTTTCGTGATTTTAAGGTCCACGTGTAAAACATAGACCTTCTCATACTTTCATGAACTGACAAGTGAACTTTTTTATTTTTTGCAAAAAAAAAAAAAAACTAATTTTTTATGATATTAATGCATTAAGGTCCATAAACAAGTATAGACCTTAATATTACGTAAGGATTTGCCGGTAAATAAACGGTCCATATTTTACTATTAAAAAAGATCAACAAATTTAAAAAAATGCTCATCAATATTTATATGCATTCTTACCCAAAAAATGTACTGTTTAGTTGTAGCATTTGACAAACATAATTTTAAATTATTTTCTTCTATAAAAAGAATACTCTGTATAGAAATTGAGTTGTACTCCGTAATAAAAAAGTTTAAGAGACTAAGATTAAATAAGTTAAAGATGTTCCAAATAAATAAAAAATAAATAAAAATCACTTCGTAAAAGACACGAGTAGCAAACGAGCATGTATAATTAATTGATTGATTTAACATTCTAGTATAGCAATTTGGTTTGGAGTTTTTTGGGACGGACCGGTTTGGGTTATTTGGAGTATTTAAATAGAGTCATTTAAAAACACATTTTTTGGCATTTTTCAGTTCAATATTTGATGGGTTTTAGAACCTAGACCTAGAGTAAACTAGATAATGGAGAGTAGTTGAACGGGCAGAGTGCCCTAATTTGTTGCAAGAGTGTGGTGTTTGAGTATATATTGCTTGGTAAGATTGTCATGCCCTTTCCGTGAAGTGAGGCTATGGGGACAACGTGGATAAGAACTACTAGGTGACAAATAGATAGGACATGTAACTTCAAAAATCAAAATGTTGGGTAAGACAAGGACCCAAGATTCACCTTTCATTTCTGGCCAAAGTTCCAAGAGTCCATGGGGACAACCTTAGCGGATAGTACAAACGTTAGAAGACATGCTTAAATCTTGTGCACTAGAATTTCAGGACACTTGGGACCGGCGCCTTTCATAAGTTTCATTGCTGGAGTTTGCATATAATAATAGTTACCAAGCAAGTATTGGCACAATGGCAGCCTAAACAGATTTGCATGAACAATTTCTAGGCACATTTGCTTATCTAAAAAGGTGACGAATTCTGTATCTCTATAAATGTAGTAGGCTATACAATTTTCGTTGAAGAAAGTAAATACAGAACTTGCCGGCTGATGAGTTTTCAAGTGATGGGAACTTTGATAGATAACCCGGCCATGTTTGCTCACGCCTTGCACAAAGATCTGATGAGATAGTAGATTTTCTTTTCAAGTCTCACGGCTGTCAAAAGGCCACGTTTCAAACTGGTGTGGAAGAATTTACCTGTCTGAGGCACAAGAGGGGCTTCTGTGTCAATAGCCGTAGCGGTCATTCAACGAAGTCCTCCCATCACCACATTGGCCTGGTTAACCAAATCAACCATGTTAAGGACAGGAGGAAATGCAAATATAGCAGAAGGCTAAGTAATACTCTGTTGGTATTAGTGGGAGTTTTCTGTAACTTATTTGACTTGGGTCGATGATAGAAAACAGCAATGATATTACTTTGTCCTTAACAATGTCTTTGCCTATTATTTTATGCTCATAATGAAGGGCGATAAGGTCTTTTTCTTCATAAAATGTTACGGAGTACCTTTTATGGAAACGAGAACTTAATTTTAGAACACCCATAAAAGGATAGTGGGAAGTTAATTATGAAAAAGAGTACATTTTTGGCCTAAAGAATGGAAATGAAATTTTACCCTCATTTCATGTATTATTTTCGTTGGCACGCTTATTATGTAAAAGAAATTGTCTTTGAGATTTATTTAGAAAAGGAAAGAAAATATATCAACTACTCAATTCTTTCTATGATTCTATTCTTAAAAAACCAGAATATAATTTTGGGAGAGATGGAAATTGGAAGCAGGCAATTTAATTGAATGGAAAGGTGTAATTTTTTTCTGTTGATAAATCGATGAACCGATACATTCGGCCAGTTCAACTACTTCAATCAACTTTACCCTAACCAAGTGGGCTCCACCACCACCCTACTCTCAGACAAAAGAAAAAAACAATTATAAAATGAAATACCTTTAGGGGGCACCCAGGTCTCATAGCTGACTTCGCTTGCCAAAAATGGTGGCCGATCAGGACCGAGGGTTGCTTTAGTCTTTTTCTTCTTCTTCTCCACGGAGCTCTCGTGAGAGACCATGTCACCAGTGTGCTCGTTTTCATCATCCAAAGCATGGTATCCTCTTGAATGCTTTAACAACAACGCAACAGCTTCCTCAGCCTCCATGTCAACTCCAGAAGATTGTGGTTTCTCAGCTTGAACAGCTTCATTGGATGCTGCCTCATCAAGCTTGACTTGTTTCCGCTTCCTTATTATAAGACCTGGAGCTGCATTTTCAATCACCGATGCACCCGAGTTTTGAACTATTCTCTCCCTGTCTTTATAGTCAATAAATTGATCATTTTCTTGTTGCACGTCTGGCTGCAACTCCACAACATCAGGTTCTTTCTTTTTCTCTTCCTCAACAGCTCCAAGCCACTGGGGCTTAACAACAGTGTACTCAATAGATTTATTATCGTCTGTTTCTTTTCCCTCTTTGTTAGTATTCTCTTTGCTGGATTCAGAAATACTAACAGTTCCTTTTTTCTTGGAGGAGGGGCCAGGCTTCTCCTCACTTCTTCGCACATTGGATGGGTTACCTTTGAACAATTCAGTCTTTGGCTCCTGAGATTTCATTTCCCTCTTTCTGACAGCTTCACCAGATGGATCAGCAATCTTGAGCAAGTATAGTATCCTATCCAGCTCTGATTGAAGAGCAGACAGTTCATTGTGCAGCCGGTCCTTCTTTTCGTGATCTGACATTTAAAAAAGGACAGTAAAATAAATCATCATGACCACCACAAGTCCACAATATCACTTTGTGGAGAAAACATTATGGGTTGGAACTTGGAAGTTGGAACCCAGAAAATTTGGAAGAAAATCTGAGGGAAAAGTTCAAACTCATTTTGTTTCTATATTTGTATTGTATAAAGACTAAGAAATCTAATATAAGTTTAATCATGATAATCATAAAGAAATACTCTGAGTTCCAAACAAAGCATAAGGAAATCAAACTATCAAAGCCTTAAGGGAACAAAATTGTTTTCCTAGTTCTCTTTCATATTCCATATTACTTTGAGTTCCAAGCATACCCTAACGGAAACAAAATTATCATTGATAACTATAGTTAAATACTCTCCATAGTCATCTAATATCATTTTTTGGAGTTCCAAACATAGCCTAAAGGTCAAAAATCCTCATGAGTTCATGACAATCATAAAAAAACTCTGCATAATAAAATGAAAAGATTAAATAAAACAGAGTTCACCATGCAATTTATCCAGCTTGAACCAAATATGTTCCCTTCCAGAGAAAAATATAAAAAAGAAATTTACATGCATGTTTGAAAGCAATGATAGAAAGTAGATATAAATACGGAAAACCCATGGTAATGGCATACCTAATTGAGATGAAAGCCCTGACATGTATATATCGAGGTCATCACCAGATTCTAGACTATCATTTGCTTTACTGGTATTATCTTCAGAAAATAGCAGCTTTCTTTTGTCCTCCATCTCCCTGACTAAGGAATCCTTCTTATCAAGGAGAGAATCTGCTGTTTCAAATGATTGGTTTTCACCCGCCTTTTTCTTGGCGGGTTTCTGTGTCCGATCGTAAAACTCATCATCATCACTGTCAGGTCAAAATATGAAGAAGCTTGTTATTTCAGCAATAGATCACTAAGACATGCAAGAGATATAAGTATCTAAATAATAGTCATAAAACCATATCTTTCTTATACATCAACAAGAATATATGATGTTTGCTCTTTCCAGAAATCAAGCATGCATGGAATTTCTTGTGTTATCTTTAAAAGTCATACAACAACTAAAAGTTTCAAATATTTAATACCTCACATACTCTTCTTCTTCATTTACTCCTTTTTTCTTTCCGCAAGACACCCTACCAGTTCGTGCACCAAGACTCTCTCGGATACTTTCATTTAAAGTCTCTTCCAAGTTTTCAAGCTCTTCCAATATCTATTGAGAAATAAATATCAATATTAGAAAGAATAAGTCCTGATTGAAAATGACTTGATTTGATCCGCTATTCATGGTAATTAGTTGTAATTTCCTATTTGCATCTAGACTTGTTTGTAGTTCCACCGAGTTGGGGGCAGTTTCTTGTTCTTTCATAGCGAAGGCTCTAGGCTATTTTATGCAATCTTCCAAAGAATAAATGTCATATTCACTATTCACTTATCAGAGGATAAGATAGAGTATTGAACACTTTTGGACTTTGGTGAGGCTGTTGGATGTAGCAATAAGAAGCATTGGACAAAGATTCCTCCTGTAAAGAGCAATGTCATTACCTGTGACATCCTCTGTTCATTCCGAGCTATCTGAGTTTGTTGTCCTTGCGTCAGTCCACCTTGAGCAATGTCCTTTGCCCTAATAGCATCTATCTCCTTTTTCATATGAGCAATCTACGGACAAGGCAAATTTAGCTAGAGTTAGAAAAAGATTAGTTCTGCAAGAGTAACACGCAAAGACACATCACAATGAGGAAACATAGCAGTTAAGTGAGTTAACAGCCAAATCACAATTTTGTCAACCATCACAGCAGTTAGGTGTATTTAAGGACTGGTGCAAAGTCAATCTAGCTTAATTTAGAAACAAACACATGCTAGCAGGAACAGATACCTTTTCTAGTCTCTTTATTACTTTATCACGTGTTTTCTCCTGCTTCTCTGTAAGTTGGCCCTTGTATGTTTGCCAAGTCATCTCTTCAACTTCATCCTGAAATATCAAGGGTCCAACATTATTAAATTTATTTCAATTCAGTGCAAAACTAATTTTTCTGGCCACTGTGATCAAGTCAATTGTAGCATTTTTAAAGTTTCAAACACAATGGAGGAAATACAAAAATTACAGCAGTAAGTCAGTCACTAAATGAAAGTGAGAAAAATCTGGCATCTAGACAAAACTATAAGGTGTCTACACTCTGCAGAACCATTTAAAAGAAATGTTGTACCAAAGAGTAGCATGTCTATAATATTCTACATTTTTAGAGTTTTAGGAATGCTGTTTTGTCATAAAACTGTATTATAATCTGCAATTGTATCCACTGCTCAATGCCCAACATAAGACAGCTGATATACGAGGTAAGTGATAAGGTTGATAAGGAGTACGAGATAAGACTTTCAAATCTCACAAAGTTGATGTAACAACAACAACCCCAGTGCCTCAAAGGCTCCCGCCCATTGCAGGGTAAAGAATTAAAATACATTTTTCATCCAGCTTAACAGAATTACATCTTAAATAACTAATACGGAGTAAAAAACAGTCAAGGCAAACCTCATCTAGTTCAATAGCATCCTCACGCATTCCCCATGAGACCCCATCAGCACAAGACGCTTCTAGCTTTGCTCGCAAGAGTGACTCTTCCATATCTTGCATCCCTGCTCGAATCTTAGCCTGTCTTATACTCTTCAGGTCACCTTCCTTCAAGATAAAAACCAGAATTCATATAATAACAGCAAACAGGGATAAAAGTAAGCAATAAAAGCGGTAAAATACCATAATGATTTTGAGTATGATAGCTTCTTTTTGTGTATGAGTTAGCATTTAGCAACATTTTTATACATTAGTTCGCCTTTAGTAGATGAGAAATTTGATACAATTTCCAGGTGAGTTCATAACTGCATCAGTAGGATATACATAAATTTGAAAAACAACAAAGCATCTAGAAGAAGGGAGAATAGCAAGATGAGTAGTGAAGTCCCTTACAGGTGGCATCAAATCATTTGGTCCTTGGAAAACATACAGCCGGGAAGACCTGCCAGATTTAAAAAAAAAATCATTTATACTAAATCTCCAAGAGACAGAATAGCCATGCAAAATTGCAAATATACAAATAATACACATTTCATGTCATTTGCTCTGTTCAAAAGCATTATTGCAAAAAGCAAGAAGATTCACTAACAAGTAATAACTAGTTTCAAGTTGCCAACATGCATAAATATGATGCAACACTTGTTTCAAAGATTGTATTCTGTAGAAATGATTTCTTTTTTTACAACATTCTGAAAAAATAAGCAGAGGCTAGCTTAAGTTGATGCTTACATTTTTGTTAAACTGGAATTCTATAGATGGCCCAAAAATATGAATCACATGTTGGGGAAGTGAAGCTGAAGCGCATTAATCACCTAAATGCCTAAATAAAAATGAATGTTTTAAAATGCATATCTTGAATTTGTCATGAAGTGAGAAATCACATAAAAATCGTTATTGATACCAAGTTAAAGTGCAAAACATCTAACAAAAAACTTTCAATAATGAATATATTACAACTCAATGCCTCAATTACATAATCATCCAGCTACTACTCTAGCCAGCCCTTATTTCATAATTGATTTTGGCATGAATATTAAGAAAATGAAACTGTATGGTTGAAATTTATTTAGAAATGAAAGAATCATCATCATCAACCACATAATTCTTGGTAAAAGGAACAACAACATCATACCCAGTATAATCTCACATAATCTCACAGAGTGGAGTCTCCGGGTGAATGTTTCCAAGAAATCCTTGGCTCAAAACTCAAGAATCCAAAAAACAAGAAAAGTAGAGAAGGAAAAAGAGAGGTACAACAAAAGAAACAAGCACACACCTAACTACAAAAACGTAGAGCACCAACTCCTACACAAGGGTACACGACACCCCCAATGCCTACTGCACCGCCCCAATCCTCGACCTTCAAGTGCTCCACCTACAGTCATATCCTCGGTAAACTTTTAAGCCGTAAATCTTGTCAAATTGTCTCACTCTAACTTTTCTTGGGGTCTATCTCTACCTCTCTTGACGTCACCTACCTCAATCTTCTCACAATTAAAAAAATACACTAGGTTGTCAAACTTATACAACTACAATTCTACAAACTATATTCTCAAATAATATAGATAGCCTGTATTCTCGGCATATATAATTCTGAACCCAAAAAACAAGCAAATAAAATATGTTCTGGGAGAGTACTTACTGGCCAAATCGGATTACATCACCAACATGTAGCTCCATATAAGCCCTTTTTTTAACCTGTAATTTGGAAATGTACAATCAAGAAGACAAGAACAATCCCTATAAAGTGCACAAATAATGGTGTACTTTGTAAAAGAGCTGTTGTTTCCAGAAGTACTCTGTAAATTAGTTGTTCGCAGAAGGGCAAGTAGATGGACCCACTCATGTCCAAAGAAAAATGCATTAAAGACTAAATAGTAAATAAGACAACTGAATATGGATGAAACGAGACAAACTTTAAATACTACTAATACATGATTGGTTATGAAATGGAAACACCATTCCTTTTGGTTTGTGTGTGTGAAATGGATGAATCCTCACTCCCTTTGAGTCAAACAAATCATTAATGACTCTTTGAGTTCTACAAATTCTTTAATAGAGACCGTATGACAACTAAGCACATAGTAAGAACATTCTAAATAGAAGAATTATACTGCATAAAAGTATACATTTGTGCTTTGCCTAGATTTTGATGTTGAGATGTGACAATGACTTCGTAAATCCTTTTTACATGAAACTAAAGGTTTGATATAGGCATCAATGACAAATACCTGGTGTTTGTTTACAAACGTCCCATGTGTACTGCCTAGATCATACAGATAAGCATCTCCGTTGCTATTGAACTGCAAAACTGAAAAGGTAAGTGCAGTTATAGCATTAGCATAAACAAAAGACACAAAAACCATTCGATTTAAATTAAATTTGATTAACCAACTACCATGGGAGTTGGAGTACATAACAATCTCCCCAATCCTCTATTACAGGAATCTAAACATATGTGGCCAACTGGCCATGTTGTAGAACAAAATTCATAGATGCAAGAGGCATCATGAAAGCTAAATGAATCTATGAAAGAAAAAGTGATTAGAATCGTAATAATGAATGCTAACACCTTGATTTCATATTCACTGTTGTTTAAGAATGATTATGCATACATATTACTCCGTATTATATTAACAAACTCATCAAATATTCTATGATCTTACAAAAAAAGGGTTATACCTAGACTATCCTTAATTAATATCCGTTCTAGAATATTAGAACTTGTGAAGTTACTTTTGTTGAGAATCAAGATGGTGAAAAAGGCAAGAGTCGAAATTAGTATGGAATTGTATCTTGCCTTTATATATAAAGAGGACACATATAGTGATTTTTTTAAATCTAATTGACACTTAATATGGGAGGGAGGGGGGAGGTAATGGGGATCTAAGATCAAATACACAGCATTGGATTAAAAGTATTACTAGCCAATAATGACACTCCAAATTATTATAGTTTAAGACAGATCCAGGGTTGATAAAGAGTAATCAGAGCATTGGAGGAATGAATATTTGCATGTTGGATGCGATTTCAGATTTGGCAAGTCGTCGGTCCCAAAAGTTAGTAAGACACTAGAACTGAAAGGCATTAACCCCATTAAGTATTTAAATGTGTGATCAGCCAGGACCATGTCTTGCTCAGAGAGTCACATATGGGAGGGAGCCTTAGGGAAACAATTTTTTTCAAAAAAAATCATAAAAAAAGAGAAAAAAACATATTTCACCACAAATACATATAGTGTTCAAATTCATACCTGCATGAAATCTAGAGATAGTAGGATGCTCAAGGACAAAATCACAAAGATCCACACGTCCAAACATGTAAGCCCCTTTCTTGTTTCTGAAGGCATAACACACCAAAAACAGATATCATAATCAGAGCGCAAAATGACAAACTAACAGCTACCCTGGGGAAGCCTCACAAATCCTTAAAAAAGCAAGGTCTTGAAATGAGAACAGATGGTAGTATATCAATTGCGAAAAGATAAAAGAGTAGCAAAAAAATGAAAGCACGCATAACATATCAAAGTTTTTTTTGAAAAAGGAAACATAAAAAGTGAAAGTCACAAACAATGTAAACACAAAACAAAAACATATAGAATAAATAGATAGTCCGTATAGCTTCATTGTAAAGATTCATGATAAGGTTTCATGCATATTGCCTAGTACTCCCTCCGTCCCCAAAAAGGCACCACATTTCCTTTACTGTTTCTTCCATGTAAGGTTTCACTTTCATTTTAAAGATATGAATATATGGTTCACATCTATCTCTCTCCTCTGCATAAATTCAACCACTCAATTTCATCCTTCTTTAAAGTCATGCCCGGTCAATTGTGGAACCTTAATTGAGGACGGATGGAGTACATAAAAACCATAGCATAAGAAATCAGACATTCATGGATCAGCATTCCAGTATGAACTGCAACATGGTTCTGTGGTTGTAAAAAAGAATCCTACTTTAGTAAGAATGTAACAGTGAATTGAGATATACCCTCAGAGATTCGAAACATGAAAATTTAGAGTAACTACTATTAACGGAAGACCATTGAAGTAAGAAGCGCCCTTACACGTCGAGTTGATCAATGATTGATCCTTCCTTAAGCACTTCCAGGAAATAGCTATGGCACGGAGGTTCACTCCAGGAAGGAATTGTATACGGCACTTCAGGCTTAGAGCGCGGCTCCTGTTTCTTCTCTGCATCGCCGTCATTTTCCTCGGGTTTAGAGCCAGAGCTCGAGACAGCACTTTCATCGCCGGAATCATTTTGAGAAGTTTCGGTGTTTCTCAATTCGGATTTCTCGATGTTAGGGTTTAGGTTCTCCGAAGATGGACACCGTTCACTTAACGTGGAGTCTGAGGCCGAACCCTCTGAAACTGCCGGAGGTTCCACGGCGGCGGCGGTGTTTCTGGACGGAGGAGGGCCCATGGATGACGTCATGACGGACCACCTGAGCAACCGGACCACGGAGAGGAGTGATATAGATGGGGGAAACTTGAAAATTGAACCAAGTTTGGAGCAACACAGTTAAAAGAAAAAAAAGGATGAGCCTTGTTTCGTGAATTTGAATGTTGTCACTTTCCTAGTTTCCTCTATATCTCTCTTAGGATATTTTGAAAAAAGATTTATTTACAATTTTAATAATGACTTGAAGTGTTATAAATTTATTTCTATTTATGTGAAGACTAATTTCTAGTATAATAATTTAAAATGAATATGTACCAAACTCAAGCGATATCAAAATCCTCATTTATTTACATTTTTTATTAATGACTTTAAGTGTTATAAAATTATTTCTATGTATGTGAATAATAATTTCTAATATAATAATTTCAAATGAATTGTTTTAAAATGTAACTTAAATTAATATTGTATTTGTCTCGTTGTTTTCCAATTAGAGTTCTTGTCAAATTTTAAAAAACTTTGGCTATAAATTGTTAAAATTTATACTCTGAACTGAGGGCATCTATGATTGCGTTTAAAAACTGTTTATGAGTTTTTGCTTTACTAAAATAATATTTGTCGTGTTTGTCAATCTTTTTATACTTATAGATTATGACTTCTGTGGTCTAAAATGGGCTCTTGAAGTACTTTTAACCAAAGGTAAGAATATCTTTTTTCCGCTCTTATTTAAAACTTCTGCTTTTTCAACAATTTACCACATTCTATGTGTTTAGTTATACTCGTAATATAAAGTTAATATGATGTTACTAAATTTACTCATGTTTTTGTTATATTCACCCCTCTTAAATTAGCTTACGTGTTGTTTTTCCTTATTTTTAAACTTTAAAAATAAATTTGTCACTTTTTTGACAAATGTGATGGATATATAAAAAAGAATGGTTGAATTAACAATATCCCTAAATTTATTTTACGCCGAGAGGGTGTTTTTTAATTATAATAAATGTATATATTGAATATAACACAAACTTTATTTAGATTTTCTAATTAAAAGCTTTATTTTAAAATACAAGAAAATTTAAAAAAGCAAAATGCATTATAATTCATACTCCTCTTGTCTTAAAACTTTTTTCTCAATCACTATTTACACAATATACTTTAATTACTTTCTTTACATATTTCCATTAGCTATTTGATAAAATAATATAGGTCAACTTTTGTTTTGTAAAACTTTGGATGTAATTTTAAATATATAATTTTATTTTCTAATTTTGCACCTATAATCAAATAAATTGAATTAAAAATAATTTCAGTCAAACTTTGTAAATTGACTAGATAGAAAGGCTTAAGACATAAGGAGTACTCCGTAAAAAGTTGAGTACAAATTACAACTTGAACTAAATTTAATACTCCGTATTTTTTCAGCCTAACTACTTTTGTAAAATAAACATAATTATTCAATACTACCTCCAAAAATATACACCATATGTATCCTCCCTATTTGTCAAAATTTTAATTTGGAAGATGGTGGTATACATGACATCTGTCCTTAAAAGGTTCATTCTGTAAGATTGATGAATGCTACTTCTAAGACCCAATAAATCATCTCTCATACCTCGACCTGGCATGAATTCGCGCTCCACCTTTTTCAATTCTACCCTCGAATCTAGTTGACTTTGGACTTAAATTTTTATTCCAAAATCAACTAGACTTGAAGCGCCCAATTGGACATGTTGGGAGGAAGGATAGAGCTCAGCCAGGGTTAGAACTTTGTAGAACCATGGGACCCACCATAGCCTGTCTTATAGAAGGCTTATGGATGCCGTTTCTAATGAGGATCTCTTTCTATAATTTGATGGAATGAAAAGGAGGAGGAACTGGTAGAATTTCAGCGGCATGACTTCTTAACTTGCAACCCTTTATTATAGGATTATAGATAGGATTCACTGTAGACTGCCTTATAGAAGGCTTATGGATGCCATTTATAGGAAGGAATTCGAACTGGGAGAGTAGGAACCTAAATATTTTGAACGAGATATCGTAGGAGCCTAAAACAAACATCATGTTACAATTTTTGTACGGATTACAACGGGCGGGGAAAATGAACGGTTCTGGAAAATAAAAATAAATAAAATTCTAAATTTATAACTTATTCAAAATATTACAAGATAAACAGAATTTAAAATATATTTCTATATCTTCAAAAAGTCTTATTGTATGAGGACATTAAACACTGGGCAGCGAGGACATTATGCACTAGACAGCGAGGACGTTATGCACATGGCTGCGAGGACATTATTCACTGGACAGCAATGACATTATGTTCTAGGGCAGAATGCAGCGAGGTCTTTATGAACTGAACCTGCAAAAACAAAACACCGCGGAAGGACAGCGGAGTCGTCGGAGATGTTCTTAAGGTAGTAGTGCCCGTCTACCGTACCGGAAAAACGTGGGCACTCTCCTCCCAGGATAAAACCGCTATCGTGTGTGGAGATTGTACGGACCAACCACACACCAACGAACAAGAACAACGTAGGAACGTTGGCGACCAAAAAAAACTTTGAAGGAGATTGCCAGAAATTCGACCAAAAAATCAAGAACCCTCTCTAAATAAAAGGAAAACAAAGAAAGTATATTCCCTTTTTTCCTTTTCCTTTGTCATGTATGATACACCACACATAAAACGCACCACACAAAACAAGGGAAAGCCATTAATATTTATAACTAAGAAATTTTAAAAAGTGTAACTCCTACACCATGAATCCATTTCATTTGTGGCACACTAATGACGTGTTAAAGGTAATTAATTAGTCATTAACACGTCCGTTACGATATGCTTCGTTTAAAATTTGTCCCAAATAATTGGAGATTAATGGCCAGTTAACTCTGTATAAAAGGACTAATTTTAAACAATACGTAAAATGAATAATAGAAGATTGGTTCAGTAAAATTGCAAAAATTGCAATCCTTGCCATATTCTTTATTGACGGATTAACTCTGAGAATCAATTTTTTATTCACTCTCTACCATTTTTGGCGTATAAATTATCAAAACATTTATCTCATTTAGGAGAACACACGTTCATTAATTAACGGTTAAAACCGTTAGTAGACCTATTGACAAATATACACATGTTGGTCCATTTAATGCCTATTAAAAATGCCAAAATTCTAACGCATCCGAACTCCCCCTAATCCCAGGACTCTTGGAGAAGTCTTATATATCCTCCTTCCACACAGCAAAAAAGAAATTTTAAATCGATGAATAATATATCTTCCATATGCGCCGGAAAAAAGAATGGCTTTTTGCAATACTTAAACTTTTCAATTTCTTTGACTCTCTTATTATCTTCACTTTGATCCTTCCTATTACTTTTACCCATGCCACATCAATATTTTGCAATTTTCCTACTTTCACATCAAGTAAAAAAAGTGTGGTTAAGAAATTTTCTCTTGTTCTAACTAATTCTAACCATATGTTTATCATTTTTGACATTTTCATTAAACATCATGATAGGCAAAATGAAAAGTTTTTAATGCTTCCCCTTTTACACATTTGTAAGTTTTAACTTTCAATTACATAATTTTACTCATTTCTTTTAAATTTGTGAAAAAAATAAATGCAAAATTTAATTTTAAAAAGAAATAATTTTAAAAAGAAATAATCGGTACATATCCAAATGAATTTTAAAAAAGGGGAAGCATTAAAGTAATGAATGAGATTGGGGCACCACTAACCACTTGGGGACAAGCACTAGTTTATTCCATTAATGATAGAGAAGATCTGACAAGAAAACCAATCAAGACGCGGAAATGGTGCCGGCATGCTTCATCAAGAGAGATTGACCGTAATCTCAGGTTAGGGCTTGATTCTCCGACACCCTCATTCTCCAAGCTCCCTCCCACAATCGGATTGAGATTGTTCATCCATCGCTCTTTTAGGTAACCCCTCTCCTTGCTGTAACCATAAACTTCCGCTCACTGTTTCTTCGCGGATTCGGATCTGAAAAGCACACTACATTGGCAGTATATCAACTCAACAATCAAGCAGCGATGTTCCATCTGACCGATCATTGCTTTTCTAGCTGTATAACGTTTGCCTGTTGCGATCAGTGATTTGGAATTAGAGCATTGTGTTCTTGACAGAAAAGATTAGATTGGGTAGTTGATTTGTTTGGGAAATGCCAGAGTCTAGAATTTTGAAGCAGTAGAGGGGTTGAAGTGAATTAGATTGGTTGGTATGGGGTGTTAGACTTTTTTTTGGGGTGGAGATGGTTGAAATAGCAGAGTCTTCTGATTCCGGAACTGGATTGTTTAGCACTAGATTGGTAGAAAGGGGATCTTTACGCGAAGAGGACAGCTTTCAAAGGCAAGTGACTAACTTTCGGGGTGGTGGATTGAGGAATACAAGCCCGCTAGGACGGGTTGGTTCGAGAAACACCAGTCCTTCTAAACAGAAAGTCATTAAGACTAAGCCTCGTGGATTGGATGAGGAGACTTTGGCCACTTTTGGTAAGCCGATTCAGCCGGATATTCATATGGAAGATAATATTTGGGCAATGCTTCCGGAGGATTTGTTGAATGAAATCCTTGCTAGAGTTCCCCCATTCATGATCTTTCGGCTCCGGTCGGTTTGCAAGAGGTGGAACTCCATTTTGCAAGACAATAGCTTTTTGAAGTTCCATTCTCAAGTGCCACCTCACGGGCCTTGTCTCCTTACATTTTGGAAGAATTCACAGACCCATCAGTGTTCTGTCTTTAGCTTGCCTCTGAAACAATGGTTCCGAATACCATTTACATTTTTACCACAATGGGCGTTCTGGCTGGTTGGTTCTTCTGGCGGTCTGGTTTGTTTCTCTGGATTAGATGGATTGATGTTCAAAATGTTAGTTTGCAATCCCCTAACTCAGACTTGGAGGATGTTGCCGAGTATGCATTACAACCAACAAAGGCAACTGATCATGGTCAGTGATAAGAAGGAAAGGTCATTTAAAGTTATAGCCACTAGTGATATATATGGTGACAGGTCTTTGCCTACTGAAGTATATGACTCAGTTCTTGACAAGTGGTCAATTCACCAGACAATGCCTGCTGCGAATATTTGCTCCTCTAAAATGGCATATTGTGATTCGAGACTGTATATGGAAACTCTCTCTCCACTTGGTTTGATGATGTATAGGCTGGATACTGAACGGTGGGAACACATACCAGCAAGGTTCCCACGTTCTTTATTGGACGGTTATCTCGTTGCTGGGACCCATAAACGTCTGTTCCTGGTTGGAAGAATAGGTCTTTACAGCACCCTTCAAAGTATGAGGATTTGGGAGTTGGACCATGGAAAATTTATTTGGGCAGAGATAAGTAGGATGCCACCGAGGTACTTTCGAGCTCTTTTGAGATTGTCAGCAGAAAGGTTTGAATGCTTTGGACAGGATAATTTGATCTGCTTCACATCTTGGAACCAAGGAAAAGGCCTTCTTTATGATGTTGATAAGAAATCATGGTCTTGGATTGCCGGGTGTGCTTTGAAGTCATACAATAGCCAAGTTTGCTTCTATGAACCAAGATTTGATGCATCAATATATTAATCCAACAGCCAGTTTACATATCCACATTCAATTGGGAGAACATAGACCAGTAGCTTCTTGCCATTTCTCCCAAGTGCATTTCATGAAAATGTCAACTTCAACCAGCCAGTTTAAGTCCAAGTTGCTCTCTTACATCAAACCCAAGGGAACTCTTCTTCCATGGAGCCTAAAGATTAGTTCAATTTGATGGTTTTCTATTTTTAGGTTTGGGGTACTTCATTCTTTCCTGCTTTATTCTTGGAATACCCAGTTGGGCATGAGGGCGATCAGCCGATCACATGTGTAGCATAATTGTAAGACAATTTTCTTCATCTTATGAAATTTTTATGTAATTAATTTTTACTCCATACATGGTTGCTGGTCTGTTTCAAATTTTTAACAACCGAAATACATTTTTCTCGTTCAACTTGCTATCTAGTATTTCTCGTCTAGAACTCCATACACTATCATGCATTCTTAATGCACCTTTTCCTGTTACTTTTTCTCTCCCATTTCTATATTCCCTCCCAGTAGATCTCTACAACTTATCCAAGAGGAAGTGAGAGATGAATGAGGGAGATCTTCTGGGAGGGAAACAGATCCCATGAGTTGACCAATATGTGTACACACACTACATACAAGAGCTTTTGGCCTTTTGCCCAAAAACAGATTACAGGAGAGTGATTTCAAGCACGAACAAGATCTTTTATGTTCTTTGGAAGGCAAACAGAGGTACCATTGACACACAGGGTTGCAACGGTCCTATAGAAAGCTTCAGTAGCATGATACCCATCCCAGAAATAGTGTTTGTCCGCATCAACACATGGCTTCATTTCTGGTATGCATACTGAAGTCCCCTCCCTCCATGTAACACAGCAAGGGTTGTTTGGATCTGTCAAACCTGTACATTCAGATTCACTAGTATCAAGTTTAAATATATATAAAAAAACTACAACTCTACAAGACACACACATACACACACCATCTTATCCATTTTACTTGTCAACTTTGGACAAAGTATCAAATTAAAATAGTATCTGCTCTAATCTAATTGCAAGTTTTAACACTACTATTCAGTATTTCTTTGGTAACATAGTTTTATGTTAATCATGTGAGTTCATTTACCAATCACCAACTTAGATAACTGCGCGGGTTGAATCAGATGATAATAAAGATAAACACAAAAACAAAAACAAGAAGTTGCCCTTTTTTGGAAACAAATTCATTCACATAATACACACACACACTCACACACATACCATATGTAGATGGGGATTTGAAGGTGTCATAGCCAAGAGAGTAACCATGGCCGAGTACAAATTGGGACTCCCTTAGGGCTGTGCTCAAGTTTCTCAGCGCGTCTCCGAGCTGCTGATTGAACAGAACGACAAGCTGGTTGTACTCCTCAACACATGTCTCGTTTCTGTGCTTAAACGATGGAAGGCAACCGATTGGCCCTATCTCAAATACCACAATTTTTCTAGCTCCTATTTCATATAACCTCTGCACAAGGTTAATTACTCAAATCAAGCCTTTCATCCCAATCTAAGTGAATCAGAAATGACACTTGGGCTTTGTTTGGATGTGGTTTAAAGAGGGACAAAGCAGGGTCGGTAAGGGTTGCTTAATTACCTGGATTTGAACGACGAGTGCATTGGCGAGAAGTTCAGCAAAGGAAGCAGGTGAGTGAGTTCTACTGGTGTTGTAGACACTGGGAAGGAGGTAATTGTTGATGTAGTCATTGTTGCCTATAGCAATGAGGAAAATGGATTTTGACAGGTAATCTGAAAGCTCCTCTGAGCTCTTGTAGTGCCTTGACAGTTCCATCTCCACTGTTTGGTTGAACATGTTTACTTGCTCTGCTATACTCAGACACTTCCCCTGCAATTGTGTGGAACAATGCAAAACTCATTACCCCAAACAAACAACACCTAGTGATCATTTTGTTCGTGTTCTCTCGGTTGTATTTTTCGTAACTCGGTTTATTCAAGATGGGTTGCAAAAAAAAAGCATGAGAAAATAGGTCTTGTCTTATATCATAAGAACTGTCCCAATAGGAGTAAATTGCAATAAAACACCAAAATAGGAGTGCGTTGTTTTTATTCTCTAAATAGGAGTTTGGCAGTATGAATATGACAATGTGATGATGATATAACAGTGTAAATGATCACAGTGTGATCATAGAGTGTGGTGGTGGTGTACCACCCAGCGGCCGGCAATGGGTCTTTGGCGAACCATGACGGTGCTCTGGTGGCACTGTGAGAGTGGGAATGTGAAATCATAGTAAGGTCACAAAAAGAGCTCTAGTATTTTAGTAATTTCTTCATACTTCACTCATATTTAAGTACTTCTCAGTTCTCCCTTATTATTACTCACAAGATCACTCCCAGTTTCGCGCAAAATGCCGCATGACCCAGATGCATAATTCATCCCCGTGACCGGTGCCGATCCTCCTAGCCAACGACCCAAGTAGGGAGGCGGAAACGGCAAACCGAGAAACTCGGCAATGAAGTCAGCCGCGGTTCTTCCATTCGTGAACCTTCCGGTGGCTCCCGTCGCAAAATTTGTGCCGTAGGGCAAGAAGTTTGCTCTGGCAAACGTCGGCAAGAGATTATTGTTCCCGCTATCGAGCAACGAATCTCCCATTACATACAATGCCGGCGCCAGAGGAGGCTCGTCTAACGACAAGACGACGACGGCGAATAATTGATAATAGTAGGCAAAGAGTAGGGTAGTACAAAACCCCATTCTTAACTTCTCCATTATATGATGAGAACTAAAATGTATATATGAAGTTTCATATATGAAGTTGGTTTGCTCCCTTTGCCTTATTTGGTGAAGCTTCCAAGTTCCAAAAAAGCTCAAATGAGCTGTGTAACGGTTATGGCCACATATCATTATTATATATGACTTCCTTAGTCCCACAAAAGTGTCTTTTTATTTCCTTTTTCCATTGTCATGTAATTTTTTTTATTTTATCTTTTTTTAGAAAATATATGTGGTTTGAAATATATATCTCTTCTGAATAAATTTTAGTCACTCATTGTACTTTTTAATATTATTTGGAGTACATTTTTTAACACTTTTTTTTAATGTTTGTGAAATCAGAATTGGAAAACTAATTTGAGATGGAGAGCACCATGAAACGTTTGTTATGTGACACGTAAATCCATGCTTTAGTTGCGAATTCTTGGCAAGCTATGCTACAAGATTTATTATACTACTTTAATTGTGGACAATGTCGCAATGATGATATAATAATACATTATTTTAAAAATATATTCCATATGTGTACATATTTAAAACTGTTTGGACCGAAATGCACAAAATTCGGACCAAAGACTGGATGTAACAAAGTTCGGTCGTGGACCAAATTGAACAGAAAACAATTGGTGTGGACCGAATCATACCTAAAAGACTTGCTCCATGTTTCCTGAAATCTAAGAGAAATAATATGGGCTCTAAATTCTAAAATACAAATATTTGCAGAGATTTGAAATAAGAAAGGAATCATTCATTCTTGAGAGGCAGAAAAGAAGAAAATAGTACAGAGAACTTGGAATGCAAGATTTTTAGAAGAGACAATGATATGATTGTTCCAATATAGCTACAATTGAATAGTTTATCTACAAAAAAAACTATGCTGTCAATTCTCCTTCAGCCAATGTGTTTCATCTGTTCATCTGTATATCCATCGTTTTCTTCGGCCCGATTTAATGAATCTTCATAAATTTAACACACAGTCATCATCTCAGGAGTCAGAGTTACCATTCTCAGGATCATCTTTGAATCCACAGCCATCATCTTCCACAAATGGGAATCTTGTTCAACAAACCCAGTTAAATCACACACAAAAGTAGGGTCTGGGTAGGATTTGTGTACGCAGACCTTACCCCTACTACAAAGTAGAGAGACTGAGAAATGGAAAACTTTCTTGATACATTGAAAAATGAATGAATGTAGACATGCTTTATGTCTACATTCATTCATTTTTCCAATTTACCTAGAATGTCTTGTTATACGAACGGAGGGAGTATTATTACTCATCTTTCTCCCCCATCGAGCTCTTCTTGATCTTCCACTAGAGTTTCTTCCTTGTTGTTCATCTCTCCGCTGTCAACTTCACGGTTACTGCCATTGCTTTGCCTGAAGAACAAACCAGAAGACAAGTCATCTTCTTCTTCATCGGCATCTTCATCATTTTCATCTTTCGTTTGAGACATGGCATTGTGAGCATTCATCCATGGAGGGCAGTGAGGAAGAACTCCAAGAGAATCAGATGTTTCTGTGGGAGCACGGCTCGTGCAAAAACATTCAGGGAAAGGAAAAGCAACAAGGGAGAGCAATTTGGTTCTCTTTGATTCCCCCAGAAAGCCATCAACCAAATTTCTCCTCAGGCTCTTACGTAGAGATCTGATCCAAGTACGGTTGGCCTGATACAAATTATCGCGAATCTCTTCAAAAAGCTTCACAGTTTCTTTTCTGCAGATGAGAACAATGATTAAGAGTAAGTTCCATAAACATAATCCCCAATTCTAAGATACTGCGTTTGTGGTCCTCTATATATCAAAATCATTCCATAATCAGTCCTTTGACCCAAATATTGTTTTCCATGTATAGTTCACAAAGGACTGATTATGGAATAGTTCTCAAATATGAAGGACCACAAATTGTTTTCCATGTATGGAGGGAGTACCTGTTTGGTCTGTATGTTCTTGAAGGAGCAAAGTGATAAAGCCTATGTCCCATTACAAGACTAGCAAAATTAGGGTGTCCTTTACCATCCCTATCAAACCCAGCAATGAAAGCATCAGCTTCAAGACAAACAATGTAGTCCACGGCCTCCCACAGCAACTTGTGCGCATTAGTCCTCAATTCTTCGACGCTGCTCTCTGGCTCATAATCACTCTCAGCCACCCATCCCCACCACCCTTCAATGTTATATGGGTATTTGGGCCGTGCCGGGGGAGGGGCCAGAGGGCGGGGGCGTGGGCCCAAGGTTTTCCAGTCTTGAAATTTTCTTTCCTCTTTTGTCAAAGGGTATTTTGGGTATTTGTCAATGACGGTAGTCTCGCGCCCGTACATTTTACTCAGCTCCCATGGAGTGCTTAAGGACGTTCTATCAACAACATTCTCAAACATAGCATGGAGGGGAACTAATTTCTTACGCCCGCCAAAGATTTCCCCACCGGATATGTAAATGACAGTGTCAGGTTTATAACCATATGCTCGCAGAAGAATTCCTACCTGTGAAAGAAGATGAATCATGTCCCATGATTTCTATGATGAAATATATTCTTCCAAAAATGCATATTTTGTTGGGAATTTTGAAGGGGAAGGGGACGATTGATTTTTTTTAAATCTGATATCTATTTGTTAGTGTTAGATTAGAAAATAGCTAAAATTTTAGTTATATAATGCATTTCTATATACAATCACCAAAAACATCCAAACGAGGCCTTAGACGACCAGGAAATAGAAACAAGAATATCAATTTAGTAATGCCCAAACACCCAAACAACAAAGATAACTTAATAAAAGATAAGGGAATCCATTAAGACATATTCTACCTCTTCTGGCATAAGAGGACACAAGCCATTAAGGCGCTGTTTGGCAGAATCCACAGATAGATTTCCCTTCACTATTCTGTGTTTGATCATCCACGATCTTCGGTGCAAGATAAGCTCGGTATGCACATCCTGAAAAAGCTCTGCACAACCGTAATATGCCAAGGAATCTCTTGTCATCCCCGGATCATATGCTAAAAATGGCCTCCCTGAAGCTCTTAATCTGAAATGTTATTTGAGAATTAAGCCAAACACAGTATAACGTTAAGGTCCACAAGAAATATGACAAATTGACAAATACCCATCAGCAGGGATTACCTATTCAAAATTTTAACAGCAAGTTCTTGAACTTCTTCTCTGAATCTTAGGGCATGAAAAGCAACCCTACATCTCAGCTTTTGGTATTCCATAAGAAGTGGTGGCAATGTGGACTATGTCATACCCGGCAACACAAAAACAAACATATATTTAGGCATCAAATCTGCATATGACATTCTCTATCCTAAACTATTTAGAGTTTAGATGTGAAGTCTTCTTTGGTGGTGTTCACAACCCATGGCAAAAAAAGTTTTTCTGCCAATGAAAAAAAGTGAAGGGAAAATGAGTACAACAGCCCAATATAATCCCAACTCCATTGGGGTCTGGGGGTCAAGATTTACGTTGCCTTACTCATGTAAAAATAGAGTCTGTTTTTGTTAGACCATTGATGCATTGCTACATTTACTGCTCAAAACTTCATTGAAAGTCGGAAGCAAGGGAAGTTTAGAGTGTCGTTTTGATTTAGTCCATTATTCACTTGACGCTAAAAGAATTGTAAAAAAAAATGACTCTTTTAACTCCATTGGCAATGGACATAAGGGGTCAATGAGTAAATAAATAAATGAATAAATAAATAAAAAATTAATGGGATATGTGATTAGAAACATGACCCCGACCCAACCCCCAAACTATTTGTAGGCTATTCCTTAAAAATCACATTTTAACTAAACTCTTAGATTTATTTCAAAAAGTGCAGAATTAGTGAGTCAATCTAGAGGGGCACCACATGCTATCACATAGATTGCACATCTTGTGAAATTACCCCTAGCATCATAGCATGAATATTCATTACTTTAAGGAACAAGGGGGGTAATCAGGAAATGTGGCAAAGGGTGGATTTTAGTCCTTTTACTCATGTGATAACATAATTTATCCTTGTGAGAGTTCATACAAACAGCTAAGAGCTGATTGCCAAAAAGAGTTTTTGAATGTTCACCTGCAAACATCCACCATCAGAAACAATAAGCTCAACAACAGAGTGATGTGTCAAAACAGGTAGAACATGATGCAGGTAAAAATGTGGCGATGCCGAGTGGGCCACTCTAAATGAAGGGATCTCTTTCTTTCTCCTTGCTCCTTTAAGATTCTTTGGAAGTGTTTTCACAATCTTCACATCTTTTGCCAATGCTGCCATGAACTGATCCTCATTGTACAAGTACGCAAAGCTCTTGAATTCTGAACTGCATATTCCAAAAAAAAGGAATCAAAACACTGCTAATGTGAAGAAAATAACTTAGGTGCCTCCATTAACCGCTTCACTTTTTGAAGTACGGCGGGCTCACATAAACAGTGGTTACAGCTTACTGCTTACCTGATTCCCTTGCTGCTTGTGGTTGACTGAATCTCCGGAATGACAAGCGTAGCATTGAGAAGCCGCACAACAGCAACAACATCACATATCTGTTATTTTCATACAAACAAACTTTTAGATTAAGAAAAAAAGAGAATATTAGATTGTGTACAAAAACACCCTTACCGAATTCCTAATCTCATGGAAACCACCTCGTATCCTGACGAAGATAAACCCACTTGGTTGCACTTCAGGAGCTGTGTGTGAATAAAAGTAGAAGACCACAAATTTGGAGCAAAAATGGTGGAAAAATTATTTTTTTGAAGTAAAAAAGTAGAAAAATCAAAGGTTCCTATTTCCTCCTGGTGGCAGAAATCAATTTTGTTTAATCTAACCTGGATAGTTGGATCCGGGATTTGCAAGAGGCTGTAAATATTCAAGACGCCTAACTGGACCCCAGAGCCTTCCATAAATTCGACTCTAGAAAAAAAACAGAAAGGAAAAAAAAGAATCTTGAACTCACATAAAGCAATAATCACACTTTGTAAAGCTGAACGCACTAATTCCAGAAATCACCCAACGATTAATTTGAAAAAAAACGCAGAATAATTCCAAGATTTTCAACTAAAATAACTTGAAAAAGGAAGCCAAATAAACAAAGATCAGATCTTTGAGGGGTTTCAAGCAAAGTTACAGTCTTGAGAAGATCCGCATTCTCAAAAACGGGCATCCATGATAAGAGAGTGAGAGAAGACTGGAACTCCGAAACTGGGCCGCCGCCGCCGCCGCCGTGAGTGCGCCGGGCAAGAAGGAAGTGGGCAACGAGAGAGAAAGCGGAGACGAAAAGACCCACAAGGCCCGCCCACTTCATCTTCTTCGACACCATCGATTTCCCCCCTTCCAATTTCGTCTTCTCCCCCTTCATCTTCTTCTATTTCTTCTATCATCACCGCCAAGAACGTACAGAATCGAAATTATTTCGATTCAGTTCAAGAAGTCAAAAGGGTACCCAATGGCACAGTGGACAACTGTTTGCTGGGATGGGATGGGAGACAGCGCGTGGGATAACACCGCGGTTTGGGTAGAGGGGGACAGTGGTGGGCGGCGGTGGCCGCGCTACGGACAAGGGCGCGTGAAATTAGGGCACCCTAAATTCGCGACCGACTTGGAATTTGAAAAGAGAAAGAAAAAACTGTAAATCGGATAATTAAGGCGAGTTGCAGACTTGCAGGAGTGGTTGGCCCAATGAATTCTCGCTGCTCCTTTCACATGGATCTTTTCATATACTCCTCCGTAAAATAATTTCTTGGATAATGTTATTTGTACCCCAACAATTTATAGTCCATACAACTTATAGTTTATTTATAATATTTTGTGTTGGTGTAATGCTAATTTTTATTAAGGCATTAACACTTTGTATCAATGGGAACTATTAAAAAATAGTGCATACCAGTGTGAGGTAACGACTGACTATTTGAATGACTATTTAAATTATTTTCTAATAATGACTTGTTTTACTTGAATTATGTTCTAAGTCACTCTTTTATTAACAGAAAACATTATTAATATCCGTTTGTAATCATTTTGGTTGTTTGTCATTTTTCTGGCTATTAATAAAGCACTCGCATTTTCAGAGACAGACTATCTTAGAACTTTTCATTGTCAAACGTTATAAAAAATAGAACCATTCGTATTTATGAGAAATGATATATTTAGATCCCATTTACATACATTAATCAAATAAAAAAGGGACAATTTATGTAAAGAGAACTAAAATATAATGACTTTTTCAATATATGATCATATATTTTTACTAAAAAAGGGAGTATTTCTTAATGTAGAACCATTAATCATTATTTATTAGTTATTATTCAAGTAAATATTCACTATCACTGGATATTATTTGGCTCACTATGCATTATTAAGTACTCCTCCGTCCCTAAATAAACTTCCCCTTTCATTTTTTTTTTGTCCCCAAATAAACTTGTCTTTTCCCTTAAAAAACCTCTTTTACCACTTACTTTTTCATACCCTACCTATCACATCATACCTTTTTACTAATAATTTACGTATCACATCTTACTTTTACACATCACATCAAGGATATTTTTGGAAAGTCAAGACAAAAATATCTTTCTTAAATTCTCAAAAAGTAAAAAAAGGAAATTTATTTAAGAACAGAGGAAGTATTATATACGGAATAAAAAAAATTTAAGTTCTACACTAAGAAATGACTTATAATTTAGTCATAGTTAGTGCAAATTACACTAGAAATAGACCGTTTTGGTAAGGAGAAAGTATACCTACAAAGTGGGCTCGCGATCTAGTCAGGCTGGCGTGGATATGTCCATTTTGATTAGTAGTGGGCCGATAAAACATAATTAAAACCTTGTAAGATATCCAAAAGAGGGGAATCACATGATGACGACCCAATTAACAATGGGCCCAATTCGATGCTGACATCAATGTCATTTGATCTGAAGCAATTCACATGATGGTGATTAGTTAACTTTTAGATAACTTTTTGGGAAGGAAAAAATAAGGGTGAAAATTAGAAATAAAAAAAATAAAACTATTTTTCTTTGTCTTGTTTGAATATTTCGAGTGAAAGAAAAATAAATCCATTTTACCTCTTTATTAATAGAGTGAAACTTTTTTCTAATTAGAAGAAAAATTATCATAAAGAATGAAGCGATATATTTTCATCCGCGTTTATTTTCCTTCATCATTTCAAATACAATATGGAGTACTTTTTTTTGAAGGTATCCGAAACACAATATATTCAATCACTCATTTATTTTCACTTTTAATTTTCTTTCAATCCTTATTTTCTCTCACCCAAAACAAGGGGAAGAGATAATCCATGCATACTTGACAAGTTTTGAAATTTACATTTATTTCTCGAGCATTGAATTTTCTAAATTAATTTCATCACAAAAAAAAACCTTTTCAATACTAAGTCACTAACCATAAAAATTATTCTCAAAAGAAGAAATACTCTCACCCCATTGAAAATATACTTTGAAAGTTCAATGCAAAATAAATCTAAAGATATCATTTGTGTACTAGCATTACAATTTTTATTCAATAGATAACTAAAATTTGTCCAACTTCATTAAAAAATGAATCAGGATCAACACTTTAGACCGGTGATAGAATATTTCAATAAGGAAAAATTATCTTAAATTTTCCAACATTTTCAAGTTTTTTATAAAAAATAATCGTACTTTTGACTATCACGAAAAAGAATATCATCTTTCTGCACATGTGTGAGTTTTGAATCGCTGTTAAAAAGTTAACAGTCATTTAATAAAACTTTTGGAAAATACTCGTTCTTTACAAATAAATGAAAGGTGACAATACACTCTTGTTAAAGATTTATCTCATTTTTTAAAAATATTATTCCCTCCGTTCCACAAAATTTTACTCATTTTGAATAGTAAAAAATACAATGGTAAAGGAATAAGCAATAAGGTCATGTTCTTCTCAATTTATTTTTTTACTTATTACTCCGTATTTATTTTGTTGAAATCAGACAAATCATATTATATCAAAAATAGTTTTAAATATAATTATATTCAAATGAGGTCAGCAAAGACCAGATTAGACTAGATTAGATCAGAACTTATTTTAATCAGATTAGACGAGGAGAACATGACCTAAGTAGAAGAAATAAGTTTAAGAGAACGATATCGTAGATTGTTCCATTAAAATTTTAATTCAATATATATATAGACTTTTAAAATATAAATTTGAATACACCATTCTAAAATTCGTTACGTGTAACTTATTTTTTCAGTTGATTGCTTATTTTTATTAAAATCAGATGAGATTCAATGAAATAAGATATAATTTAATCAAATTAAATCAGGCTAGATCAGAAGTTGACTTAAATATGATCACAATTAGATCAAATTCAATCAAATAGATAATTAATAAGATCTAACTAAATGAAATTTGACTAGATTTTCGAAAAATCAGATTTCCAGATCACAAGACATCCTTACTTGGAAATTGTAAAGGGGAAGGTTCCCATGACATTGGGAACCAATGTCATGAGATGACCCGGGGTGCTCCGGTGCCCCGTTCGTAAAATTGACGGTTCCTACCGCCCCAAACCCCTCCGGTAAACCCCCCACCCCGCTTCGCCCCGAACAACCCCCAACCTCTTCAATTGCACCCGACAAGTCGATTTCGAATTTGGAGTCCAATTTGGACTCTAAACTCAAAATCGACTTGTCGGGTGCAATTGAAGGGGGTGGGATTTGTTCAGGACGAGGCGGGGTGGAGGTTTACCGGGGTTGGGGGGTTGAGGGTAGAAACCATCAATTTTACAAACGGGACATCGGAACACCCCGGGTCATCCCATGACATTGTTTCCCAATGTCGGAAACCAAGGTGAATTTTAAATACCCTAGTAACCCTGTGTATAAAATAAACTCAAAATATCTCAGACCATAACTTCAATTCGGGTTTCATCCTAGGGTTTTTTTGGGAGCTCTGAACGTAAAGTTGCAGGAAGATGAGGAAGTTGAAGCCGCATGAGCGGAAGCTGCTGAAGAGGGCGAACCTTTTTGTCTGGGATAGAGAAAATGGCCATCGAGAAGGTCTGGTCATGCAGCGCTACCGCCTGGTAGAGAGAGACGACTACAAGAAGTATTAAAATCCGAAACTTCATCTCCTTCCCCGCAGGCGTTTTTATTTTTTTCAAAGGAAAATTACAAATTAGTGATATAACTGTAGTTTCTAGATGATACGGAGAGTGTATTTGCCCCGGTTGTAGTTTATTCAATTGATTTTATTTTGGTGAAATTAGGTATTCGAGATTGTGTAGAGAGACCCAGAAGCTGGTGAATATTCTGAAGCAGATGGACGCAGGAGATCCTTTTCGGATAGAGATGACTGACGCCCTTCTTGAGAAGCTGTAAGATTTTCATTGTTGTCTTTCTTTAGCTTACTTCATGTTAGAGTTTTCCATTTAGGTCTAGATTAGCCTCAGGACAAGTTAATCGCTCTCTTGAATTTTTATCTTCCTTTAAATTCAAAGTGTGTTATGAAATGAGTACGGTTAATGTGACAGTTGCTTTCTTTCTATTGTGACCTCAATATACAATTGCAAGGAATGAACCTTTTACCCTTTCACCTCACTTGCCCATCCCAGTCATGGTAATTGACTAAATGTTTTTTTAGAGTACCCTTGTCATGTATGACAATAAGACAACTTTTTGAACTATAAACTTCAAATATTAATCCCTGACCACCATATTGTCTGACAATATGGTTGGAATTGAGATAGGGGAAATGTGCGCAGTGGAGTGAGTTAAGAATGTACATGAGGGATTCTTCACTCTGTTGCTTCTATCAGACATTGATACGGAAGATATGATGTGTGATTGACTCCGAGCATGAGATTTATAGTTGAACAATAAAATAGAGCATGCAATATGATTTTGGATGTTTGTCATGAACTTTAGCCGAAATATCCTTCATTGTGTTGGTAACTTGGTACAATGATACTAAGTATATTATAGCATATGAGGGTCACTGAAATACTTGGTGAACCCAAATTATGGAGCGGATGTAGTGGCTTAACTGAGATCAAATTATGTTGTAAATTCCCAAGACTAATGAAATTTAAAAGGGAAAAGCAGCATTGGTGATTGGTGAAAAGTGGAAGAGTTCAGCATCTTTGAGTTGGATAGGGAAAAGAGCAAATGTTGGATGTCTGTATATCAAGAATTATGTATACATATTCTTTCCTGAGATTGCATATAGAAGCATATCCATGGATATGAGGTTTACTGAACCATTAGGTGATGCCATTGACTCATTGGGTTATAACAGATGTTAAAGTACGGAATAGAATATTTGTGCCAATAGAAGCTATTTGTGTTTTGAAAAGCTGATGTCTTTCCAGCCCGGATAAACAGGCTGAATTCCTTTCTTGATCATTTTTTTTCTAGTAAGGATGAGAGATACTGCATCCAGCCTGGGATGGAATTGTGCTATATAATCCCTAGGCGAATGAAATTTAAAAGGGGAAAGTAGTGGTAAAAATTGAAGGTTCATTATCCTTTCTGCCCAAACCATCTGCATCTTATGTCTTGATGTCTTATTTCTAATAGTTTTGTAAATATTAAATGTCATTTAGCATACTCTTTTTTTATATGGCCTATTTTTCTGCTGATACAGGTACAACATGGGTGTGATAACAGATCGGAAAAGTTTAGCATTGTGTGAAAGGTTATCAGTGTCATCGTTCTGCCGGTAAACAAGCATCTATAGCTATCCTTTTGCAAGCGAGTGCTTCTATTATGCTCATGGACCATCTCACATAAGCAAATTAATAAAATTATTTTTTATCTCTATAATAATTAATTGCTTATGTGTGAAGGTTCATGTTTCTTATATTAACCTTAGGCCCATACTAGAACTTACCCTTGCAAACATGTCCATCTCAATTGCTACATTAAGTTACATTTATACCCTTAATTACTGCACCTGAAGTTTATTTAACTTTTGTCTGTCTTCAGAGTAGGTGGTTTTAGTGATACTAATAACCAAGAACTGTATTCTAATTGAATTTCATCTTTTAGTGGTTTCTTACTTTAAGTATCATTGTGTATCTTTGTCCACAGGCGTAGGCTTGCCAGTGTCATGGTGAAGCTAAAGTTTGCTGAACACTTGAAGGAAGCCATAACATATATACAGCAGGGGCATATCCGAGTTGGACCTGATACTATAACTGATCCAGCACATCTAGTTACAAGAAATATGGAAGACTTTATTACTTGGGTAGACACATCAAAGATTAGAAGAAAGGTCATGGAGTACAATGACAAGTTGGACGACTATGATGCCATGAATTAATAGGACTATCCTTAGTCTTTTAGGTGTTCCTAAAACCCATTGTTGCAATTATGGTGGTTTTATGCTGTTCTCACTTTTGTGACCATTACATGTTATTGGTTAAGTAACTCTACTCTGAAATGCTTTCTTGGCTTACTTTGAGGGCTTTATCTTAGAAGCATGTCTTTTTACTCGTTATTTATTAGAATGGTAACAAACATGTTTTGTTGGAATTTCACAGTTCTCTTGCTAGCATGTTCTGAAAATGTTACTCCCTTTGTCCCATGATTTTGTTCTCGTTTTGGCTAGTCCTGCTTTTTATGAAGTGTAATTGTGTGAATGATGTTTGGTTAGAGAAGAGTGCAGTTTTAACCACAATTTTTTTAACTGATAGAGAAGAGTAGAATTAAACTTTTGGAATACTTAAATAGAAATATGGGACAAATGGACTAATAGTACTTGAGATAAGCAAATTCTTTTGTGGTTATAAGGTTTACACTCATTTTAAGGATTTTAGGATATACTCGTAAATGCCATAGATGAATTGTGCTCTTTGAAAAAAATAAAAGATTCTCATGTGGGCTTAGTTAAAGTGTGAGAAGGTCTACATTTTACCTGTGAACTTTGGGGTCATGGAAGCACACACTTGTAGTGATTGATTGATGCAACAATCATTAGTACTGGAGAAGTTCTTCTACTTAGTTACTGTCAAGTTAGGAGTACAACAACTGGTCTCAACAATCTGCAACAACTTCTGCTATGATGCATCAATAGAACTATATAAAAACACAAATTCAGAGAATGGTTGTCTTTATTTCAGCATTACAACATATCTGTCATAATCAGTACAATCACATTACCATCAAATCAGAAAGAACAGAACTGCTTAAAAGATAGTGATGACAATAGGAGAAAATAGCAGATTTTGTTTATGGAGAATTCTTCTTCTGGGTAAAAGAAGCAGCAGCAGCTGGTGGAACTCCAGGGAAAGTTGGTGTTGGTTGGAAGGGGAACTGTGGGAGAGATGGAGATGGCAGAAATGGAAAGGGTTGCTGTAGTGAAGGGACTGGTGGTGTTATGGAAGAGGGTGGCAGAAAAGGGTTCACCGGAAGCTGAGAAGGCGGCGGCAGCAGCGGATTTGGCGGCAGACCGCCGCCAATGACTGGCGTGAAAATCCCAGGTTGGGCTGTCTTTTCATCTCCTGACTGACTTTCCCTTGCTGTCTTGTCTAAATTTTCTGTCTTTTTAGGCACAGCCTGAAATCCAGGAACCCCAGGCAGGAAAGGGATCTTTGGGATTGGAGGGATTTCCGGCAGCGGCAGAGAAACACCACCTTGGGTCACCGGAGGAAGCAATAAGCCACGCGGCGGAGCATCTTGGATTGGAGGGGCAAATGAGGTATCATCTGGACTTAAATACTTGGACTGCTTGGGAGATATCCCATTTTCTTGGCTGGTTTCAGGTTTCAGAGACTTTGGAGTGCCTGTTTTCTTACCCTTACGCGTTCGGCTACAAGCATCTGGTTTGAATGCGAAAGAACCCGCCGAGAATATCTGTTTCCCTTGCTTTGTTTCTATCAGATGGATGGAACTTGAAGAAGTTGCAGGAGAAGAAGCTGTTACAGCACAAGAAGGTTCATCACTGCTGCTAATTAACTTCACAGAGCAGAAGCCCTTTGTTTTCTTGGCATGTTTGATCACAGAGAAAGGCAGCTTCACTTTGAACTCGCCATTCCCATCCGTTTTCACCTCCTTTCCAAACCTTGGGCCTTTTTCCGAGCTCCCACACTCCACTGCAATCGATGCACCTGTAAAGAAAAGGGAATCATTGCATTGCACAGAAATGCAGAATCTTCTTTTCCTATAGATGAAAATGGAAGGCGAAACTTACCCGAAATAGAGGGAATAGGCTTGGGGAAATGCTGGCATGTGTTGCAGTACACGGTCCCAACAAGTACAGCTTCAGATGGATTGTGTCTTCTTGCTTCTGAGAAGCAGCCATAGTTTAGCACTACAAGAACTTCAAGAAATATGATCCAAACCCAATGCTCTTTGCAACTCATTTTCATTTCAAAAATGGGTTTCTTCTTCTTCTTCTTCTTCTTCTTTAAGTTTAAAGAACACAAAACCTGAGATGGTTCTTCTGTTTGGCTTGGAGTTGGAGAGTGGCTTATAAGGCTGGGAAAAAATATGAGTATTTATGCCAATCATGTGGAGATTTGTGACCTGTCAAACTAGAAACCATTATTATTGTTATCACTGCTGCTTACTACCAAACAGAGCACAAGAAAAATAAGCCTTGTTGGATGGATGTCTCTTTTTCATTTACTTAGGGCTTTTTTTTTGCTACTTCTAACTAGTCTTTTTTTCTTTTCTTTTCTTTCTGTAAAGAAAGAGGTCCAGTTGTGGTGGGTTCACAAGATGCTCATTCATTGCAGCCAAGGGATTCACGGGAGTCTTGTGGGCAGTTGGGCACCAACAAGGGGAGGGGGAGTTGGAAAAATAACACTTCTTGAGGCCAATTGAATTTTAGTCTTATTTGGGCCAATTAAATCATTTTATATGAAAAATAGTGTAGAGTTAAAAAAAATAAAAACTATATATTTTAAAACTACATCAAAAGATATACAAAACTAGTGAAGACATGACTATATTATTTTTCAAATGGCTAATGAAAATAGAAAAAGAATGCGAATAAAGTTTGACTATGTGAACATTATACATTACTACATGCAATAATTAATTGTCTCACTTTCATTTTAGCTCGTTTAAAAAAATTGTCACATTCTTTTACTTACATACTACGGAGTAATAAAATAAAAAAATGTGATCTATACTTTTTCTCTCTTTTTTTAAATAAATTTTTTACGCCCTCCGTCCCAAATTAAGTTATATATTTTCTATTTACAGAGTCAAACTTCATTACAATCTTTTTTCTATTTTCGTTAGTCATTTGATAAAATAGTCATGTTGCCTCTTGTTCTGTCAAACTTTTGATATACGGAGTAGTTTTTTAATACTCTGTATGTAAAGTTTATTTTTTAATTTCACCCCAATTCTCAAATAAATTGTTTTGAAAATAGTTACAGTCAAATATCGTAAATTAAAAAAGCGATTCAAATTGAGACGGAGGAAGTACTTTTCAACATTTTTTAAAAATTTTGTGACGTCAAGTGTAAATTATTAGGGATGGAAAGAAAGAAATTTGTTCCTCCATTCTTCGTCAAAAGTGAGTTATAATGTAGTAATTTTTACTTCACTAAATTCATTTTGAAATGTGTGTTTAGAGTAGATTTGGTTTATATGATTTATGTATATATTTGTCTTTTTGAGCGGTTATTTACTCAGTATTTCTTCACTTCGAACATATTTATACTAATGGTTAAAGTTAATATCTGAGGCCGTAAAAATTTGGAATGGATCAAATACTTCCAGGCTCCTGCTTTGTTGTTTCTGCACACTTCCCATTTTTTAACTTGAAGAAATTTACAGATTTTTAACATCCTCCAAAAACCTCAACAATTTAACCTCAACAATTTTTCTTGGACCCATTTAAATTTTTATCACAATTTCCATTGTTGCTTACGATGTTTAATTAAAATTAATTTCAACTCAAATTTAAAAAATTAAGAGGTGACAAATGTTGAATTAAAAAATACTACCTCCGTCACGCTATATTCGTCCACTTTTGACTTTTGGAACGGTTCATCTAAACAGTTTGATTCATCAAATTCTCTCAATGTGTAAGCCTAAATATAGTCATGTGTGATCTTGTTTGATTTGTCTTAACATATACGGAGTAGATTATTAATATATAATTTCTATAATTTTTTAATATACAAATTACAAGATAAAATAGATTAAAGAAGTGTATTGGATAATGTGTAAAAATGAAAGTGGACAAATACTCTGGAACGGAGAGAGTATATATTCAAAAACTATATTAAAATTTCTATTATCAAAAAATGATACTCCCTCCGTCCGGGAATGATGTTCCAATTGTACGTTTTTTTTCGTCTGGGAATGATGTTCCCATTGTACGCTTTTTCCTCTATTCTCCAAAAAATTCCCCTTCTTTCTTCTTTTTCTTCCTTTCTTTTTTTCTCTTTCTTTCTTCTTTCTCCGCCACCCCTTTTCCTCATCCCCACATTTTTTCTTTTTCTTCTTCTCTCTTCTCCCCAAAAAACTGCTGACAGGTACCTCCAGTTTTGTGGTAAGAACTACCGGGTACCCCTAATTTTGAAAATATACTCCCAGGTACCCTGAATTATAAAAAAACATACCAGGAGGGGATTTTCCATCCATCCTCCATCCATTTGAGTTTTTCCGTTAACTTCATCATCACCATCAACATCATCATCATCATCATCCATCTCCATCTTCTTCGGTGCTTCCTCCTCCTCTTCTTCTTTTCCTTTTTCTTTTTCTTCTTCTTTCTTCTTTCTTCTTCTTCTTCTCCTCCTCCTCCTCCTTCCACTCTTGATCTTCCAAACCCCCAACCCCTCACCCTTATTTCTTCTTCTTCTCTTTCTATTATTATTATTATTATTATTATTATTATTATTATTATTATTATTATTATTATTATTATTTTCAAATCATTTTATATGACAAATGGTATATAGTTAAAAAATAAAAATTACATATTAAAATACTACATTAAAAGATCTACAAAACTAGTAGTGACAATAGTATTTTATTTTATCAAATTGCTAACGAAAAAAGAGAAAGAAAGTGAAGAAAGTTTGACCCTGTGAATAGTGAACATGTATTATAATTTGGGACGAAGAGAGTATTATTATTATTATTATTATTATTATTATTATTATTATTATTATTATAAGGAGAGTGTAAGTTTGATTGACTTTCCACTTTTTCCCCTGATGTGATGAGTAAAAGTAAGATGTGATAATTTGGTTATTAGAAAAAAAGGATGATGTGATAGTTAGAGTATGAAAAAATAGGGTAAAAGTGGTTTTTTAATAGAAAGTGAAAGTGTTTTAAGAAATTGAAAAAAATGAAAGGGGAAGAAATTTATGGAATGGATGGTGTATTATTTATTTATTACAAAGTATAATTTTCTTTTACCTCTATTATTTATTATTATTATTATGAAGTAATATTTTCTTATTCTTCTTTTATTAATATAAAAACTAAATATTAGTTTCACTATTATTTTTAATAATAATAGTAATAGTAATACTAATAGTAATAAGATAATAATAATAATAATAATAATAATAATAATAATAATAATAATAATAATAATAATAATAATAATAATAATAATAGAAAGAGAAGAAGAAGAAATAAGGGTGAAGGGTTGGGGGTTTGGAAGATCAAGAGTGGAAGGAGGAGGAGGAGAAGAAGAAGAAAGAAGAAGAAAAAGAAAAAGAAAAAGAAGAGGAGGAGGAAGACCAAAGAAT